TAAAAAAAAAAAAGAAGAAAAAAAAAAGCACAGTTGGAGACAAGGTTTCTTGCTGCTTTTGAAGAAAATGCATTAACGGGTTAAATAGACACTCGAAACACGATAGCCTATTGTATTATTGCAACATATTGCAAAGAAGTTACGGCTTTTGTCCCTCTGGGTTTTTTGTCAAACCGTTCTCAAAGACCCCAAGATACAGGCCTTGAATTTTAAAGGTGATAGGGAAAAAGGCAACGAAGGGAAAGCCGATGATGAGTAACATAAATGAGACGAGCAGAGGTGTACATGGTGGATTAAATAGGTGATAATGGACAAGGCATAAAAGGGACGAGCTGCAATAATCCAGTGGGACATTACTACCCTGTGGCTATGTCAGACAGACTGTGGGAGTGTTCCAGAAATCAAAGCAGTGGGATTTAGGGAGTGATTTGGTGGGAGCAAAAGGAAACCGTAACACTGAGGTAGCTAGTTAGAATGTTGGCGAGATGAGAGAGAACCTAGATCAGGGGTGCCCTATAGGCATATTCCCAGATGTTTTAAAACCACAACTCCCATGATGCTTTGCTTGCCTTTAGAATGACAAAGCATCATGGAAGTTGTAGTTTTAAAACAGCTGGGGATCTACCTTTTGGGCACCCCTGGCCTAGAGCAGTAACATCCTATGTACACCTCATGGTGAGACGGTGGAGTTATTAACTAGGTTTCAGGTGTCAGGTGTAAAGATGAATCAGTAACAGCTCAGTTTTTTTAGATGCTATGTTAAAAAGATGTAGGCCATCCAGGATTGATTTCAGGTAGACACAAACTAGTAGGAGGGAGTAGTGAGGGCAATAACCCAGGAAAGGAGAGGTAGATTAGTGTGTTACCATCATACACAAGGGGCTGAAACACACAGCAATCTATTAGGTTGCTGGAAGAGTAATTGCAGATAGAAAAGGGAAGAGGACCCAGGACTTCTTAAACAGGACAACCCAAAAGCACAACTAAAGAGATATAATTTAAACCAACAGGCCAGTGTCAGAGGCTCGAAAACCAAGACAGTAAAAATGGGGTGTTGGTCACTTGGGCCAAAACAGCAAAAAGATTCAGGAGTAGGCTGAAGCGGTTTATATTTTAGTTTTTTTGAAAAGGTCATCAATTACTTTGGTGTGTGCACGTTCAGTAGGGCAATAAAGGATAAAATAGGATGCACCGTAGAAATGCATGAACCTATGACGCCACATGACATAATTAAGGGACTGTGCCAATGTACTGGAACCCAGTGTGTCTTTGTCTGAACATCAGCTTACAATTCTTCTAACACCTGAAGGACTGCGGTCCACCTGTGTTCACACAATGTGAAGGTACAGCAGTCCCTAATGTATAAAGATAACATCATAAAAACAAGCGTGACTAACATCCTCACAAATAAAAGGCTGGATTATATGCATTTTTGGCTGACACAATTTTGTGAAATTCCTGGGTAGGTTACTAACGTACTACCTCCACTCATTTGGGGAACTTGTCTAGTCAACAAGTAGCTACTTTCTAGCACTATATTTGTGAACCATGTTTTTTTGGAGCTGGGTTAAGAAAGGCCAGTGGACTAGGAGTTCCAACAAAATACTACTTTGTTTTGTGTAAAATGCCTAAAAGGTTGTTTTAGACCCAAGTGACTGTTCAGCGTATTGCTTGTGTAGTTTACGACCATCTAACTAACTTTGACCATTTAATTCTTCTCTAGATTCCTTTATCCCAAACTCTTGTCGTTGTTGACACAGCTTCGGACACTGAATGCAGAAAGCACTCGTCAGCTGCTACACATCCAAGACATCCATGCAGACGCGATGACCCCTCTCATGAAAGAGTTTCTCAGCTGAGACAGTCACAGCAAAGCAGTGATTAGGGATCAGATATTCTCATTAGAGGCAGAAAAAATGTACTGTTGACTCAATAAGTTCTCGAAGAGCACGAAGCTGCACTAGGACGATAACATGGTTGCTCAGGGAAGATGGAAGGGTGTACTCCCATAATGCCAGATGCATACCTCTTAATTTGCACTACAGAATATCCTCATTTTGGTAAACCCGAACTAAAGCACTTTCCCATCTCTGAAGAAATACTGTTGGACTTTAGCAGTTTGGGGGACCACAAGCTACAACAGGTCCCAAGATTGTTAAATGTGTATATTCCAAACAGTCACTAAAGGAGAACACTATCTGTGAGAACCACAAACAAAGACTAAGACTGCAAACATAACTGACGTGCATGGGTTCTAGACTTGCACAGTAGCCAAAGGGAATCAAACAACACTGCTGACCAAAATGGCTTTACGTCTGTGACGCACCACCTGGCCCCCCAACTGGGTACCTCCATCAATCGCTGCTTCCTAGTAATCCTTGAGTACCATAAGCACCGCATCGGACACCATAACCACAATAAACTCCACAAACCGCCGCAGCTTGGTTGGGGTCTCACTGTCCTCCACCCACCCTGGACCCAAGACCAGGATCCAGCTTTCAGTGGGTAGATCTCTCCTAGTCCAGAGGGCAAAGCAGCCTGCTCTTACAAGAGCAATCGTCGTGATCCATGGGAGTATAGTGATTATAGCAATCCCCAGAGTGAAAATCTCTCTCTAATCCCCCAAACATGAGCCTAGACTTCATGAAGGGTAAAACTAATCTGTTTAATGGCAGCCACAACTGGCCTTATATGCAGGTCCCCATGCAAGGGGCACTCCCCCCCTGTACCTGAGAGTAGACTACAGTAAAAACATATACATAATTACATTGGCTCCCAGGTCCAGGACACTCCGATACAAAATAGGTCAATCCCTCCCCTATGCCTGGGATATAATGGAGTCAGCACTGTACTAAACTCAATTTTCTCCAGGCACAGAAAACAAATTTTTACAAAACCCCCAAAATACCTTAAAACACACAAAACACCCACAGTTACATCTCCTGATAGCCCTGGGTGACCAACATATCCAAAAATCACCCAGATCAGTTCAGGAATTTCCTGGAACTCATAATTTGACTGCCCGCCCACATGGTCCCATGCCCAAAACAGTTAAGAGAATCAGGGCTTGTGGTCGGTCTAATTTGGTAGTTTAAAAATGAACAAACTACAGAACAGAGTGAATAGTCTTACCCTGGATCTTGATCCCCTTGTTCATGGGAACGTTTCCAACGAACAGTGCCTTTCTAAGTGTTGTAGAACCGAACGCAGGCGATACTGGAAGTCCAGCTGTGTTTGGGAGTTTCTGTGTCCGTTTTCAGTTTCATGAGATTCATGCCCAAACACCGCTGCCTGCGTTCGCAGCAACAAGATGGCCGCCACCTCATGGTCATCCATAGGAATAGCATCCACCCAGACGAACACTTAGAACATTGTGGTGGAAATTGCTACAAAGTAGCAATTAGGCTTAACAAGGTCCAGGGTGGTCTCCGGTTCGTGCGGCTGTTCGGTTCCCGAACCAAGCATAAAATCCCACTAACCAAGTCTGTTCACATATTTGGAGGCCCCTCCAAGAACACGTGACGAGGCTCAGTCCGTCACAAGGTCATCAAGAAACCAGACAGAAACTGCATGAGATTGTCAGCAAAAAAAACAAGAAAGGAGAATCTGCTCTGGTTATATAACAGTTTGTTTTGAAAATAGGTTTAGAAGACTTGAGGGAGAGCATTGGGAAAAATAAAAAAAGTATTTCAACCATTTGGAAGACAAAAGGCATGGTTGGGTGGAGATGAAATGCACATCTTACTCTTATTTCATTATTTTATAGCTGCAAGAGGGGTAATTACTTGACCTACTGCATACAACCCTTTTTTTTTACTCATCAGGAGGTGGGGTACATGGATCACTCAATTTCCCCATTGACATGGATAACAGTTTTTGTAGAACGTATACACGTAGTGTTGGTACTCTATCAATGTAAGGGTTGGTATTGGTCAATGCCAGTTTAGAGATTAAGTTGCAGATCACAGGTTTGTGTGAAATACCTTAATTTATGTTTCTGAATTTTGACAGCAACATCGCACAATTCCCAGAAGCATAAGAACGTGAACATGCTTATGGGAAACATTTTAAAAAATAAATAAAATTCAGGTCTTTGACTGCCATAATGTAATTACTTATGGATCTATATGCCTTTTAGATATAGCATTGTATCCAAAGGACCTTTACATTGTACAGAAACGTACCATGCTTTCAATATGGCTTTTGAATGAAGAATTGGTCTTTAGATGAATATCAGAGAATTTTATAAGGGCAGCGAGAGAAGGGGTGTTGATCCGGTGATCTAATACAGATAAAAGTACCAAAAGGTCTACATCGGACCAGGTCAGATGGGCAAAAAAACATTTTTAAAACATGAATGGGTCACTAAAAAAGTAAATCATTACCTAATAATAGTAGCTTTCCATGGAAAAACAAGCAAGGATTGCAAAAAAAGTCAACAATTTCACTAAAGACATCCTTAAACAAAATGAGGGTTTGGGTCAAGGTTTAGAGTTGGGTTTTGGAAGAAAATATACAATATATCTCAACTACAAAAATAGCATACTCGGTGTTGAAAGGCCATTTATCAAAATGCAAAATACACATGCACTAAAACACAAACAATACTAAAAATAAAGAATGTCACATATATGGACTAGGTTAAATGCAATTTGTAGAATTTGTAGAATTTCAGTTATAAAGTGTTGAGAGAAATGGAAACTGAAGCAAAAGTTTTATTAGAATTTAAAAAAAACAAAAAACATTCCAGCCTGCTGTGGTGGGTTTGGAGCCAGGAGTGCCTTTTGCTGCTGGAAGCTCTGAGCTAAGCAGGCTGTAGTGGTTGTGGTGCTTGGAGTATTCTTTTACAATTATCCACATCAACTATATAGTAACTGGGGGTTGCAAAACACTAGTAAAATTATACAAACTATTACTAGATGTAAAAAAAAAAAAAGTTTGCATTAAACTAAGCATTGCCACACTTGCCGCAAACCCCAACAACGTAGCTTGTGCACTCATGAAAGCAGGGTACAGCGTTAACCTCTAAGACATTATTAGGATGTGTTCTATGTGTGCTCACCTTAAAGACTTCTAGGGCTGCACTGTTCCTATGGAACGGCCTTACCCTCTCTGTTCGACTCTCACCCAATCTCCACTCCTTCAAAAAATCTTTGAAAACGTATTTCTACAGGAGAGCTTATCAATTAAACTGTGAACCGCTTTCCCTCCCCGTACCCTGACTCCTCTCCTGAAACTGTCATCAAAACAAAACACTTCAGTGAATATTATACTAGCAACCTGCTTTTCTACCCTTCCCTTTGTGTCACTATACCCCACTTTATAGGATGTAAACTCATTGAGCAGGGCCCTCAATCCCTCTGTTCCTGTGCGTCCAACTTGTCTGGTTACAATTACATGTCTGCTAGTCCATCCATTGTACAGCGCTATGGAATTTGTTGGCACTAATAATAATTAGTATAATAATAATGTGTAATTCAGCAAATAGCATCAATTTACTCAAAGATGGTTTTGATTATTTTTGCAAATCAAAGCAGTTGCAAGCAACAATGACAAGTGATACAGGGATAGAGAATCTATTGCAACACAATCTATTCCGTGATCTTAAGCTTTATTGTGCGTTAAAGGGTTACTTTAATAATACACTTTTTTTGGGCAGCTTAATAATACACTATTTTAGTGCAGCATAACTCTTACTAGCACGGTCCACCTGAAAAGAAAAATAATAAAGAAAAAAAAAAGCTATTCATAAACTTACATACTGTGGACAAGTTCTCTCAGCTGTCTGATCCTCCCTCAGTAATGTCAACCACAAGTTGGAGTTGGTGGAAGGAAAGGCCGACGGTAGGACGCCAACTATGTGCAGAATTCACATTAACCAGCCTGGAGCTCTCGTTCTACTCCGGCTAATGACGCTGCCAGAGGTTGACTTACACCTCTGACAACAAAGTGTTTTAATTCTGTTTCAAATTAAAAACGCTACACATACAGACTGCAAGAACCACAACCACTTCAAATCACTGAACTGGTCACGATGCGTGGAGTAACTCTTTAAAGATTACAAGCCATTATCGGGATGTGATGACACAGAATACATTACCTTTAAAAAGAGACATTTGAAATTCGAAAAAAAAATTTGATTACACTGGCTTAAATAGCCAATGCAAAACACAGTAAGGGTTATTCACTACAAGTGAGAATTCAAAGTAAATTTAAAGGGACACTATACTCACCAGAACAACTACAGCTTATTGTATTTGTTCTGGTGAGTAGAATCATTCCCTTCAGGCTTTTTGCACTTTCTTTTCAGAGAAAATGCAGTGTTTACATTACAGCGTAGGAACAACTCCACTGGCCACTCCTCAGATGGCTGTTAGAGGTACCTCCTGGGCCAGTGCTGCACAGTGTGACTGACATTCAGTGTCCCCTCTGCATGCAGACACTGAACTTTCCTCACAGAAATGCACTGATTACATGTTTGTATTCCTGACCCTATAGTGTTCCTTTAAAGGCCAAAATACCCAAACTGGAAAAATTCTTCAAGTCTGCTATGCTTCCAGTTCAGATATTTTGGTTTAAACTTAGTTAGTGAATAACCCTGAGTATATTGATATATATTCACCAACGTGGAACTTTAGTGAAATCCCAATTTTATGTCAAAACACACAAACAAAATGTTTTAGTCATCTACATGCGTCATACAGTTGTGAGGGCACAGGACGTTACCCCTGGGTAATGGAGGGGGGCACAGTGCTCTCCCCTCCAGCCAGAGTTGGTATTAGGCAACGTAAGTACCGGCCTACTAGCGAATTGCTCAAGGAAAGATCACAGCTGCTGCCTTGCCTACCAGTGTAACTGTGCTACAGTTGTGCTCAAAAGTTTGCATACCCTTGGGGAATTGGTAATATACGTCACATGTTTAAAGAAAACATGAAGGAGGAGTGGGCAAAAGACATTTCTTTTATTTCTTATGGGATTCATATTCAACTGTAAGTTATAACAGAACAGCACAATCATAAAACAAAACATGGCCTGTATTTCTCCTGATGTTACCTGTGGGTTTTTCTTTGTATCCAGAACAATTCTTCTGGCAGTTGTAGGTGAAATCTTTCTTGGTCTATCTGACCTTGGCTTGGTATCAAGGGATTCCCAAATTTTCCACTTCTTAATAAGTGATTGAACATTACTGACGCGCATTTTCATTTAAAGATTTTTATTGATTTTCATCTTGGCAATGCCTTAAACATGGAACATGACATGGGGGAGGGGGTACAGAATGAAGGCAGGGCGGGGACGAGGGGGTCCATACCAAGCTTTTTACATCAATGTTCACATTCACAGTTATTGAGATCTCTAGTTGTGCCATATACCTACATACATTTTCTATATTCGTAGGTCTGCCTATTCCTTCATTTTGTCTCTAACATGTTGTATTGTTACTCGTCTGTCCATCGTTATCTGGTGATTGGCCCTGGGAGCCTAGCATGTCTAGTGGCTTAGCCATCGGGGGGTCTCCTGTTCTTTTCGCTTCCCACAGCCTCCAAGCCTCATCTTCTGTGTCTGTCAAGGGGAGGACCCCTCGATAGCAGGTTTAATATAGGTGTTGTGTATCAATGTCTTTGCAGACCTCTGCCACTTGTGGTGGTCTCTGAGATTTCCATAACCTAGCTATTGCCCTCTGGGCTGTCAAAAGAATGTGGAAGGCTAGTTTCTGTATCTCTTTAGGTGTGTTGTGTGGCATGTGTAGTAGAAGGCTCGTTATGGGTGTGAAGGGGAGTTTGGTGCGTGTAGCGTCTCGGATCAGGCGGTTTATGTTGCGCCAGAAGCTGGTAACTAGTTCGCATTGCCACCAGATGTGAAGTACTGTACGCTCTCCCTTTCCACACCTCCAGCACTCCGGAGCTGAACCTGGGTACAGCTTGTGTAAGCGAACGGGTACCATGTACCACCTATATAGGGTCTTCCTATATTGCTCCAGTAGGACTTCTGACTTAGTTTTTTGGTCGTCACTATAGCACGCTCCCAATGGTCTTTACTTATGTGGCACTGTAGGTCTTTTGCCCAGTGCTTGGCTGGGTTGGAATCTGCAAAGTGTTGTGTGGGTCGGATGAGTTGATAACACCAGGATAGTGGCTTAAATGTTGGTGCCCATGAACCACTAGTGGTTGTCTGTTCCCATTTCGTCATACCGAGGGGGTTTTCGCCTGGGGTGGAGGTCTTCTCTGTGTGTTTATGCATGAATGAGCTTAATTGTATGTGAGAGAATTGGGAGGCCACTGGTATATGGAATTCTTCCTGTAGAGCTGGAAAAGTTTTTAGTTTGTTATGCGCGAGTATTTGGTGTAGGTGTGTGACCCCGTTAGCTATCCATGGCTTGGCATTAAAGGTTGGGATGCAATCATTGGCTGTTGGGGCATGACAAATATGTGTGTATTTTTCTGCACTACAAAAATAAAGAATTAAAAAAAAAAAAAAGGTTGGGATGCAGTATGTGATAGTATTGAGCGGGGTGGCTGGTGACAGGGGGGTATGGGTTACTAGTTTATGTCTAAGCTTGTCCCAAGCCTTGACTGCTATATTCAGCTGCGATGGCATCTGTGGAATCACCGGTCTAAATTTTTTAGGAAGCCACAGTATGGTGGGTACATCAAAGGACTTTGTGGCTTGTTTTTCCATTTGCACCCATTGCGGTAAAGCCGTGTTTGTAAAGTGGGGAAGGATTGCTGCAAGTAGTGCTGCTTGATAGTATGTCTTGATGTCTGGTAAGGCAAGGCTGCCCTGCCTCATCGGTGTTTGTAGCAATGTTCCCTGCACTCGAGCTTTTTGGCCCCCCCACACAAATCTGTTAACATCTTTTTGGTAGGTAGGACATGGGTACCTGAATTGGTAAGTTTCGAAACAAGTATTGAAGCCTAGGGAGTATGGACATCTTAATGGTTGCTACTCTCTCGGTCCAGGTCAGAAACAGGGTGCTCCATTTTTTCATTAGTTGGTGGCAGTACCCCCACACCCTGACATAGTTAGCAGGAAAAGTTTCTGTAGGGTTTTTTGTAAAAGTCAGTCCTAAGTATTTTATTGTATCTGTCCTCCATTCAAAATTATGGTCTTTTTTGAGTGCGGTGAGTGTTTGTTGGTTGAGCCGCACTCCCAGTGCCTGTGTCTTACTGGCATTAAGGGAATAGTAGGACAACGTCCCGTATTCCTTTATGAGGTCTAAGATAAGTGGAAGCAATTGCTCTGGTTTGGTAACACAGAGGAGGATGTCATCTGCAAATGCGCTAATTTTAATTTCCCTGCCATGTAGCTCAATTCCTTGGATACCCTCTCAATGCCTAATTTGGACCAGTAGTGGTTCCAGAGCCAGGACGTATAATAGCGGCGACAGAGGGCATCCCTGCCTTGTACCATTCGTTAAAGGGAATGGGTCGGAGAGAAAGCCGGCTTGTAGTACCCGGGCGGTGGGACCCGCGTATAGGGCAAAGATCTGTTTGATAAATACTGCGGGGATGTCATACTTTAGGAGCGTATGTTCAAGAAATGCCCAATTCAGTCTGTCAAACGCCTTTTCGGCGTCAAGGGCTAGTAAAAGCCCGCCGTGACCCGATCCCCTCATCTTCTCTAGCACCAAGGAGAGCTTTCTGGTATTGTCTCTGCCCTGCCTACTTTTAACAAAGCCTGTTTGGTCGTCTCCTATGATAGTTGGAAGGATGTGTGCTAGTCTGTTGGCCAGTACTTTAGCATATATCTTTGCATCGGTAGTGAGGAGGGAGACGGGTCGGAAATTTTTACAATTGTCCGTAGGCTTGTCAGGTTTCGGAAGCGTCACTACCGTGGCTACCAGCATTTCAGGGGGAAGGGATCCTGTCTCTGTCGCTTTATGGTATACTTTTAGCAAGTGTGGGGTTAGTATGTCTGTGAATGTCTTATAATAGATGTTTGAGAGTCCGTCTGCGCCCGGGGATTTTCCCGGGGGCAGGCTCTTAATTACTTCTCGGATCTCCTGCATAGTAATCGGTTCGAGCAAGGTTCTCATTGAGTTTTGGTCCAGCTTGGGGAGGTCTATACCACGTAAATAGTTACAGATAACTTGTGTGTCTGGGGCTTTAGCGCCGCAGCTTGAGTCTAGATTGTATAGTTGTTTGTAGAAGTGTGCAAATTCCTGTACTATGTCCATGGGGTTCATGAGTTTGTCTCCCGTGTGCCCTATTAGCTATGGAATTCTATTTGCGGCCTGCTTTGTCCTCAGTCTGTTGGCTAAGTATTTGGATGCTTTACCACTGTGGTGGTATGTGGTGACTTTTAGTCTGTGTAGAAAGTACTTGGTCTTTTGGGCATTAAGCTTGCTAAGGTCCTGGTACAGGTCACGTAATTTGTCCGCTAGGGCTGACGTGGGTGTCTTTTTGTTTTGGGCCGTGGCTATCGCTATTTGCTTGTGGCAATCTAGGAGGGTGGTTTGGTGGCGTCTTTTTATGTACGCAGATTGTTTAATGAACTGTCCCCTCATCACCGCTTTATGTGCGGACCACACCGTGTAATCCGAGACTTCGCCCGTTGTGTTAGTGAGGAAGTATAGTGTTTCTGCTGAGAGGTCAGAGAATATTTTTATATTGTGGAATTTTTCAGGCATCCCTTTGTTTCTGCTTGCCTTGATTATCCGTTCCTTGGCATGGAAGAAATGCACTCTTGCTATGACGTCCCTCGCTGCGGTGGTAGGTAAGTGGCTAGGTCTTCGAAGACGGTGTGCCCTGTCTAGTAGTAGTTGATCTGGATGCAGTTCAGGGGTCATCTGTTGGAACATATCTTGTAAATAATTATCCACGTCAGCATTTGTTACTGACTCCGGTATTCCCCTAAATCAGAGGTTGTTCCTCCTAGATCTGTCAGCTTGAGTTTTTGGGCTGTGATAGTGTCTTCTAGTTCTTGCATTTTGTCAGCCACGCTATTATGGGCCACGGAGAAGTCGTCCATTTTGGATTCAAGGTGTGTAGTACGGTTCCCTATGTCCTGCAGGTCTTTCCTAAGCTCAGCTGTCAGTGTGAGCATTTGAGCCATGAGGCTCCTCTGAATTGAATCTGTGAGTTCAGCCATCATGCTCCTCATGGTTGCCACCGTGAGGGATTGGTCGTCAGCACTCATTCCAGGGGAGGCTGGGGAAGCGGGCGAGCCCTCCCGCGATCGTGGCGGGCCGCCATCTTGCTCATGGTTTTCCCGCGTTTTTAGCGGTGCGGCTTTTGACAGAAAAAAAGACGCTTTGTCCGCTTTCGCGGTTTTGCTTTTCAGCCTCTGGGACATGGTGAGTACTTGCGGTTGTGCTTGCGGTACAGATTGCTCGATAGACCGTTTTTTTATTGCCCTGTGCAGCTTGATCGGCGGGAGCTACTCCGACATGCGACCGTGCAGCTCGAGCGCCAAACCACGCCCCCCTGACTGGCATTTTCAAGGCTTTGGATATCTTATTATACCCTTTTCCATTTTTATAAAGTTCCATGACCTTCTTATGCAGGTCTTTTGACAGTTCTTTTTCTGCTCCCCATGGCACAGTGCTATCAAACTCATTGAATATTTATACACAGTCACCAATTGCACCTTTAATTGTCATTTTAACCTGTGTGTGTCACCCAGTGTGTCTGTAACAAGGCCAAACATTCAACGGTATGAAAACGTTTGATCGGGGCCATTTGGGTGATTTCGGTTATCATTATGATTTAAAAAGGAGCCAAACAACTATGTGATAATAATTGGCTTCACATGATCACTATACTTTAATAAAAAGATATTTGTTTGCATGATCAGTCATATTTTCAAAACCAATGCCAAAAGTTCACCATATCTGCCAGGGTATGCAAACTTTTGAGCACAACTGTATGGCTAGGGAGCTGCTGTGATCACTCTGTGCACTGCTTGCAAAGCCCAACTCAGGCTCTTGGTACTGATGGTGGGAGCCGGGGTGTAAAATTACTCCAGGTACACTTCAGTACTCAGGATATCCAGCCCTTGTAAGCGCATTCCAACAACACTCTGCACATAGGCTGCCTTCAGTGTGGCTGGCTAGTGTTGTCTTTTTAGGTCTCCCTGCCATGACAGCAAGAGTGACCTGCGTCAATAGGTGGCCCACATTTATATTGGGGGGGAGGGGATCTTTAAAATTATAATGCATGTTTCTCGCTCATTGGGAAAAATGACTTATTCCACCCGCAATTCCTCCATGATGCTCCCCATCAGAGGAGGTCACATTGGCTCCAGTTACTCACCAGTTCTGACCGTAAGAGACTGTTAAAATCTATTTGAATGCTACAATTCGGAAAAATCAAAGAGAAATCCCTATGTATTTGAAAGCACTTATTATGTGCTGTCCATCACAAAGAAGAAATTATGCATGTCCAGGAAAATGAGGTGGGCCAGAAAACCCAACATGTCAATGGAAAGAAACATTGATACACATTGATACACATCACATCGTGTTTTTAGCTTTTGCCTCTATTATAGTTTAATGTAATTTTAAAATTGAATGTAGAAAGATCTCTGACCTTACATTAGTGGTTTACCTGTAAAAAAAACAAGGGAAAGAATGCATTAAACCCATAATAAAGCTTGATTAGCATATGTTCCTTTTAATCATTAACATGGACATGAGATGACAAACCATCAAAACATTACAAAGATGCTGGTGAAGTAGAACTCTGTTGTGTTTAGTGGAATGCAGAAAATTCCATTTGAGTTATTACAGAGAAAATAAATATACTCAGAAACCATTGACACGTTAGCGGAGAGAGGTTAGACTTAGGATATCCAAAAGGTAGGCCCGTAGCTGCTGTGTAGCTACAGGCCTTAAGGCTGACACCATACAAGTACTTGTACAACTGACAAAGCATTGTGGGAATTTTAGCTCCACAGTGAAACCTTTTGTAAAACAATGGCTTAGAAACTAGATCTGACCTTTTAACGTGAGAACACAGACAGTACCAAGGTATATCTGTGTTGTATTCAGTAGGTAGCATTCTGCAATATATGATTCAATATGGCTGCTGCAATAGTAAAGTGCATAGAAAAGGCATTGGAGAAAGAAAATTTAAACAATTTAAAACCGCCTGATTTCTAAGCAGCATGTAGGGGGAATAGACAAAAAAATTAAATAAAAAAAAAATATATATATATATTATTTTTTTTATTTAATTTTTTAAATGAATAGATAGCTTGGCATTCTCCTTAACGGTATTTAAAGTGTATCTGCCCGGGTGCCATCCACAGTGCGTCCAATATATAAACAAAAAGATATCCGGGATGCACTCTCAGGACTTGAACAAAAATAATATAATTTATTTAAATTTTGTGCAAGATAAAGAAAACTGACGTTTCGACCTCTTGAAAAAGACCCGCAGAGGTCGAAACGTCGGTTTTCTTTATCTTGCACATAATTTAAATAAATTATATTATTTTTGTTTAAGTCCTGAGAGTGCATCCCGGGTATCTTTTTATATATATATATATATATATATATATATATATATACATACACACATACATACATACATATACACACACACTCTAAGGTAAGACATCAAAATATGCCACCATCATGTTGTGCAGGAAGCTATTTTAGGATTGCTCGTACACTGCACACTCATGTCCCTGCCATGCCCACGTAGAACGAGATGTTGCTTGGCAGGAGCCTTGAGAACCAAGCTATTTCTGTAGTGGATGCTCGCTGCAGCAGCTCGAGCAGCAGACTATGGGACCATGGGGGTGGACGTTGGCCAGGTAAGGGACAAGGCAGAGCAGATGTTCCCAGGATGGTTGCATAATTCATGCCCTTGTCTCCAACATAGTCTGACAATAAGGGCAGAATTACAGCGCTCTCTGGCATCCTGTACAGTCAGCCTGCAAGCCGTGCCGGAGCCAAACAGCCTGCAAACTAACCATTAACCTGCCTAAATGAAACAAGTAAATACTTAGTTCTTCCAACCTCAAAGTAAACAAAATATAATATTATATATATATATGCAACTGGTACGTGGAGCTCAAAACTGTCAGCTCCCCCCAAAAAACAAAATGTAGTGCAAAGATTCAACGCAAAAATCTTATTAGTTTAGTGATGGGACAATATGATAAAATTGGCTCTTCTAGCGGTAAATAAGGGTCTTAATGATTTTTTTTTTTTTACATGGATCATTATTTTTGACAGAACAAAATATTTCAAGGGGAACACAGAATTTATAATTTCTCACTGAAAGAGTGGGAGTCACTCAATTTGCAGGTGATAGAAAGACTCCATTTTATTGTCCAGTGAAACAAGTTACCAATACCACAAAACAAAATAATTTTAAAATAGATATATCTTTTCACAGATAAAAGGAAACCATGCTGACTCAGATTAAATAACGACAGAAGACAGAAGACTTTAAATAAAGGGAATATTTTAAATAATTTTATAAACACTAACAGCACCCCCAAGTGGGGGAAAAAGAATAGAACATCTGCAACGGTAAATTGAACATAAAATTTAAGAAGTCTATTTCTGGAATGAAGAAGTAATTGGGTGAGGTTAGTACTCAGCCTGGTGGTCCTTTAATTACTAACTGAAACAAGAATTGTAAACATTCAGCTTTGAAGCAGAGATTTTCTGGTCCCTGCAAGAGATGGGGGTTAAATATGAATCCACAACTAGGGCCTAGTTCACAAGGGTGGTTGGGGAGATAGCTGCATGACTAGAGAAGCAACAAGGCTACTCTTTGTATCAGATGCAAAGTTTCCCCCAATATCTGACACTACGGATATTAATTCACTAACATAAAAAAAAAAAAATTGGAGTAAAGACTCCATCTAAACTATGTACACAAAAAGGCTTTCCGAGTAAACTAGCCCAAATTTCCATTATGTGAGAGGAGGTACTGAAACTGGCAGCGGTGCCCTGAGACAGGTAGAACGTTAGACCTTACGGTATTTAGCAGTGCATTGAACTGAAGGAACAATATATCCCAAAATATTCCAATACCAAACCTTCTTGGACAACATCGCTCAAGAACACACTCATTTTTAATACGAGTTCCTTGTTGAATATACTGATAAAAGACTGCAGCAGAGTGATTTCAAGGTCGTCTTCTGCCTTTAAGAAGTGGTCACCTCTTTTACCTAGAAAAGCAGTAGTCCATAATTCAATATATCAACAAGAAACGCAACGCGTAACACAAACCAGGTTCTAGATTAGGAACAACAAATCCTCACGTATCTGCCCCTCTTGTTCATACCTCTGGAGGTGGGTGTTTGGGAAGACGGGTGGATAAGTGTGGCTGGGAAGGAGACCAAAAGAACTGAGTCTGTTGTGGCATACAGATGTCATTTTCTTGTAGCTTACAACCCCAACCTGCCCTGAACCAACTCACCCTACCGAGATATTGAAACCGCAATGAAACTTATTCTTCCAATGATTCATGAAAGCCCCAAGAGCCAGAGTAACAGGCAGAGGAGGTAGTTTCTTTTCTAGGACTCCCCCTACACACCAGGAACTGTCCACTGACCCTTTGAAGACCATATTTGCTTTGGGGATGTTCAAATGGTAACCAAATGCAAAGGACGTCTCCTGGAGTCTTGTATTGGCTTCAAATTCAACGCCAACTTGAATCTGCGCAGAAATAGAAGAAAATAAAAATAAATTAAACTACCCTTGTGTTTTCTTTTACAAAAAAGTCAGGAAGTGAGAAAATGTTATTACTTTACCAGACATTTAGAAGAGCAAATAATCTCCATCTAAACATATTAGATTGCAAGTGTGCATCGACACAAAAACAGAATATAAGAATGCTCTAAATGGCAAAGAAGCCACAATAGCTTGCCCTTCCACTAGTCCCTGCTCAGGTCTCAACATGCTTTTGCCCATGTGTGCCATTGCAGCGAGAACCGATGCCCTTTGCATATCAGACTTATCCCACATATAGGGACAGTATAGATCTGAAATATTGGCAAGTTCCCTCTGCATGACAGACACAGCAACCTCGGACGATTGTTTCGGCCTTCTTTGGGCCTCCTCAGCGAGGTGTAGCAGATACCCCTCTAGGCACAGTGAGCATGGGGCCAATGTCTGGATTACCATTTTAATTTAGTAAGACCCTAGGTAAATGCACTGCAACACATACAGTAGATAAGAGAAGGGGAGCAGAGGGAGTGCTGGGTGGGATAAGTCTGATATCCAAATAATATAGGTTCTATTTGTAATGTCAAAAGTGAGTGAGCAAAAACATTTTTGAGACCTGAGCAGGGACTAAGCGAAGGGCATGCTATATATAGGTTTCTCTGAACTTTTTTTTTTTTTTGTAAATCTGTTTTTATTAAGGTTTCAACATTAAATACATTGTTCAGAAGAGAATGCAATGTGAAGCACACAGGCCTTTGTCATAACATGAATATGAGAACAGGTTGTGTAATATCATTTAGGTGGCTGTTTACAGGCGATTGTAACTTGGGCGCCGTCTTTCTCCGTTTCCCCTCGTGCTTACATGACATTATTCTTCTCGCTGACTGTTGCTATTTGCCAGTGCACATTACTTATTGGTTATTCTTAAGCTAGCGATATTGCCATGTACCTGAGTGTAGCTGCTCTGTCTAATATGTTTGCCGAGTTGAAGACCAACATATTTTAGGTTGTTTGTTGTCCCAGTGGTCTTTACTCGACTTTTGTAGGCTACCACAGTCTAAGTACGTGAGAACGTGTTCCTACATTTACTAGTTTTAGGATGCTTGTAGCGTCGGTTGTTAGAGTTTGTAGTGTTTGGTCTTATTTCTTTCTAGAGTTTGATGGGATTGGTCGGCTCTCGACCTCCAATCCCAGGTCTCCGTGCCTGCCGGGCTTCTGCTTGTGGGTGTGTGTTTGTGGGGGGTCTATACTAGGTCATGTGTCCCGTGGGTTGGTTGGGTATCGCGGGTCGTGCAATCCTGGGTTTGTAGCTTTATATGGGGCTGTGTTGGGTGCCTTGGTAGCGTTGTTCCCTCTAGTGTGGTGTGTTTTGTGTGTCTGTATCTTAGGGGTAACTTGTGGTGTTAGGGTGGAGGGGTTGGGTTCGGTAGTCTAGTAGGATAGTAAAGATGACTGATAGCGGGGTGAGTCAGTTAGGGTTGTTACGAGGCCTCGGGTCCACCCCCAGCCTCCTAGAGCTGAACTCACTCCACGGGTACCAGGTCTGAGCACATTTGTCGGAGCGGCCCTGCAGGGAGGCAGTCATTATTTCCATGTTGTAAATATCTTCTACTCTGGTTACCCATTGCTGGAAGGTAGGTGCAACCGTGTGTTACCAGTGTATCGTGATTAGGGATTTTGCTGCCGTGAGTAGATGTATCATTAGGCTCTTTTTGTAGGTTGCCGTGGGGAGTGTCGTGTGGTTAAGGAGCATTGTCAGTGGCCGGAGGGGTAAGTCTGTGTATTTTTAATCATCTGCCAGTAGGGAGCTATGAGTGGGCATGTCCACCAGATATGTATTTCTCTGAACTTTTTTCCCTTTCTCAGAGTTTTTATATTTTCTGTTTTAGATTGCCAGTGTGACCTTAAAGGGAATGTTTAATATTACATTTAACTATATTTATCAAAATGTGCATCAGGTCTGAAAAATACACTTAAATGTAGTAATCCACACCTTGTGATTAACATCTATCCTGGAACTGTGCAATTCCATATCGACTCTATGTTAAGCCCTGCTATAAGCTCGGCCCTTTATACCTGGCAGTCAGCATGGAGGGTGGAGGAGTAACAGAAGCAATACTTTTGTTTATTCTCATTTTTGTAATCTGTGCCAGCACTGAATGGCTTGGGATTTTAGTTGGTGACGCTTGAATAGTGGATTTAGTGGTAAGGGTGCCAGGAGTACCCTGGCGCTATCCCACGGTAAGATGTCAAAGCATGATTTGACAATGGACCTAGGCCCCCCTAGTGCTGCTGTGGTTGCTTCTGCCATACATGGTCTTAACCATCAGCAAAAGCCAGACCATGCTCATTGGCTAAGATTTAAGAAAGGATGAGGGGCCCAAGTAGGTAGTTAAACCTACTTAAAATGGTTTCACATCTTATAATAGGATATTGACAGGGATATCCTGGCACCATAACCATTACCGGAGGCCTGGAGTGTTCCAATAAACTATTCAATAAAAACTGTGTTTATTGCAAATGTTGGGATTTCCATGACTCGGCCCGGAGCTACGTGTGCAGCTCTATAGAATAAACTAATAAGCGTGGATTTTTAAAAAAAATATTATGCTGGCCATCAATATACAAATACACTTTGGTAGGCTTAAGAATATGCTGATCCTCTGCTTTCCCAACAAAACATTTATATTTAATCTAATTAACCAGGACGTTTAAACCATTTAGTTTTTTGCTAAATTTGGTACATTCTGGCCAATTAATATCACTACCAAAATAAATATTTCATCAATCTGAGAAGTGTTATTTTATCTACAACCCAAAGATTTACACTGCTACTAGTATTACCGCACTTGGTGCACTAACCTCACCGCTATTTAACAATACGGACGGGATAAGCATTTAAAGGCTTTCTACAAGCAGTGTTTTGTAGTGGTCATAGTAACTGGAGTCTATTTGTAGCGTTTCAGTATGATGAGATTAGTTTTGTTGCTGGATGAGTAACTCCATTTCTGGCAGCATTATTAGCTAGCCCGGAACAAGAGTTCTAAGCTGGCTATTACCAACTGGGCAAATGTTCATGTACAGTGAGCCATTCATTGGCTGAGAATGTTGTATCTGTTTCTGCAGCAGCCTGAAGGACATAGGATAGGATAGGATAGGATGCTGGACAGAAGCTACAGAACCCAGTGGGGTTAAGAGAGCAAATTGCTGCTAAAAACTGTTTGCCCCATTAACGGAGGATTGGGCCAAGGAATTCCAGCCATCAGAACCACTAGAGCGGGCTAGAGTTATGATGTTTAACGTAACACTAACACATTCAGTTAAAATTGTCCTATGATATCATCACAGTCCTGGCTTGCCATCTGTTAACAAGGAGGTTAATATTTAATGTTAATACCAAAAGGCATGAAAGAGGAGAGTGTATGACTGTAAGAACAGACTCACCTGTTCATTTGCTTTGTGATAGTAACTGGCGTGAGCTCCACCATATCCAATATTTAATGTTGCCTCCCAGTTTGGTGCTGCAGGGATTAAACAAGAGATCTGAATGAATAGAAGAGTTGACAGTTGAATAAAGCATACATATTAAAGGGTTGCTCCAAGCACCATGATCACGTCACTTGTTTCAAGTGTTGATGGTGTTTGGAGTCTGTATGTGCATTGTTTCAGTTTGAAACACGGCACATACCAAGTTTAATCGTAAGAGTTCAAATAAAGAGAGAATCAAACTGCTGAAGGATTCAAAGAGAGGGGGGATTGGTATAGTAAAAACATATTTCTTTAATATGGTTTATTCATTAAAATACACTACAGCACTGGTTACAGCTCCCTTTGATTAATACACAAACACTAAACACAAATAAAGTGAAGATACAAATATTAAAAAGTTTGACGGATTCTCTCTTCTGTTTGTTCTCTTAAGACTGAATGAGGGTTACCCCTTGGTTCGTCAGGGAGAATTTGGTTATGCATCCCTATTTCTAGGTTCCAACTGGGGGCAGATCAGATTCTTTTTGTCTCCGAATCCAACTTCCAAACATGGAACATTATGCACATATAGATTTCAAGCCCTTTGCTGGCAGAGGTGTAACTCCATCCCTGAAAGCATCAGTAGGGCATCATTAACCAACTAATGCCAGATTCTGCACTAACCAGGTCGCAGGCTGTAGTTGTTATGACGTTTGGCGTGACTTTTTAAAGGAACACTGCAGGGTCAGGAACACGTTAGCCCCTTATGCCCTAAATATAGTAAAATCTTACTTTTATCCCGGTCTGCTGCTGCTGGCTCTGCCCCTGATCTGCCTGCTTGGCATCATAAGAAGTGTTGATCACGGCCAATCACAATGATTTCTCCTTGAGACTGTCAAGGAGGCAGATCAGGGGCAGACCCAGCACGAGCCAAAAACAGCCCTGGCCAATCAGCATCTCTTCATATAGGAAAGTTCAGTGTCTGCATGCAGAGGTTGGAGACACTGAATGTCAGTCACACTGTACAGCACTTCCCCAGGAAGCACCTCAAGTAGTGGAGGTATCCCTAAGCTGTAATGTAAACACAGTGCTTACCGCAAAAAGCCCAAAGGGAATGATTATGCTCACCAGAACAAATTCAATAACCTTTAGTTGTTCTGGTGACTATAGTGTCCCTTTAAAGACATACAGGGTTATCCACTGCACTCTGAATTGTAGTCAATTGAAATCTGAAAGGCAAAAATGAGGCTAAAATAGCCAACTTGTGATAAGTTGGAGAATTTTTCCAAATCAGCCACGTTAGTCTTAATTTTGTAATATGGCGTTTAGTGACCTATCAGCCCTGAGTTATGTGATGAAGGAACTCATACCGGAATACTTCCCAGCCAGAGTAACAATGGCTCCTTCCTCTCCTAGTCTCTTATGATATACCAGCTCTCCCCCGAGGACTAGCCGGGGTGTGATGCTTTGCAGGAAGTGTGAGACCAGAATCACTGAAAGAAACAAAGAGACAAAAATGAAGATTTCACATAAAGCCTAATACTCACATTATTTAAAATTTTAAACAAAATTATGCGTTAGCTACTGTGTTGCGGTTAACCCTTCCTATGCAAAAGCAATGTTCAGGAAAGCAATGATAGGATTACCATTTATATTTTGGTCGATGTACGCAATTATAACTCATTGATCCAGCTAAAATCGCTAAGCCCTGTTCACGAGCAAGGAGAGAGCAGCCATATTTAAATGTAACTGCATTTTTTTCTGGTCCCAGAGGGAAGTGAGGAGAAACTGAATGTCAGGGGTTAGTCTGCAGGGTTCTGGTGTACTCCCTAGGAATAATCTGTGATTACTGCAGAATTCAGACAGGACTCATGCTATCAGCAGGATAAGAAAGATAATGTGTAGCTTAATTATATACACAGCTTCTTCAAAAAGCCAATAACGGCTCAGATGGCGAGATACAAAGCTTATCCTTTTCAAACTTTGAGCATTTCTGATGAAAACAAACAAATTAATAAAATTAAACTGCAAATGGTTCTTAAGCCAAATCCCAGGTTTTTAACCAGCTGTTAGTGAATCATAAAAGTTTGTAAAAACCAACAAAGTGTTCTTAACAATTCATTTCTAAAGTTCTAAAATTTGCTGATGGCAGACACAGTATAGACTGTAGGCTTCATACCAAATACTCAATCATGGCCTGAATAATCATATTGGGGGAGGAGCGGCTGTTCAGTATCAGCTCCAAACATCTAATGACACGTGTATTTGGGGTACAGATTTGGAGAGATCATGCTATGTATTTGAAGAGCTGAGAATCAATGTGAACGTTTACCGGATTCATTGAGGATGTCTGGATTTCCCAAAGTCATAGAAACAGTGCAATCATCCCCTCTGTATTCACCATCGAACTGCCAGGTGAGGAATTTAGAGTGATAGGTCTACAGAGAAAAAAAAATATATATATATATATTTATATCTGAACTCACAAACCACCAGTCTAAATTCACATGAAGATACCGTACTTGGTCTTAAAATAACAAGAGAATAAATGGGGCAGATACAACTATTGTTGAAATGTATGCAAAAGTTGTTATGAACTGCATGTGCAGTGGCCAGAAAACTGGAGGAAACATTTTCATGTGGACCCTGCATTTCTCGTTTTATCTTAAACCAGCATTGTCAGCAGGGCCAGATTAAGAGCCCAGTGGGCCTGGTGCTGACAATTATGACGGGCCTAATTACAAAATCATATCGACCAAAAACAGTAAAACACTCCCAAGCATCATATACCTGATGGAGATGGTGCTGGAGAGAAAGAAAAAAACAGCAGCTATAAGAATACACATACCCTAGGGTAATCTCTCTCTAATTTATGTTTTCATCTTTTAAGTAAATCCATAACCCCTAACAGCAGTGTCCAGTCAAGCAGGAAGTCAATGGGCATGGTAAAAGGGTGTGCCACTGACACAAATCACGTAACCTGCCAAAAGGGGCGAACATGCCCAAAAAGAGGACATGTCTGCTCAAAGAATTAGAAGGCCAGCCTGGCATGAATGCATGTCAGGCTGCCTGCCAATCATGCAGCTGGCCAACTAAGGGCATACTATGCAGACAGCACCCTGAGCTTGGCATAAATGCATCTAATGATGCGCTCACTCAACGCTTTCTAAGGACTGTCCCCTAGCACTTGCTAGTCCACTTGTCTCCTTACCTTCTTACTAGCAGGCAGAAGCTCCTGGTACATGTTTTGGGACAGAGAAAAGCTGTATGTAGTGAGTGTAGAAGAAAGGGAACATGCCACAGTGTTAGAGAGACCAAAGTCAGCATTACCTTAAAGGATCACTATAGGGTCAGGAACACAAACATGAATTCATGACCCTATAGTGTTAACCACCATCTAGCCCCCCTGGACCTCTCATGCCTCCATAAATATAGCAAAATCTTACTATATTCAAGCCTGAAGCTGTAACTCTGCATGCTGTTAGACTCATAAAAACAAGCAGTCTGCTGACATCATTAGAAGTGGTGGCCTGATCCAATCACAGTGCTTCCCCATAGGATTGGCTGAGACTGACAAAGAGGCAGATCAGGGTCAGAGCCAGCATGATTCAAACACAGCCCTGGCCAATCATCATCTCCTTATATAGATTAATTTAATTAATCTCTATGAGGAAAGTTCAGTGTCTGCATGTAGACGGAGGAGACACTGAATGTTTGGATGCATTTTAGGCAGCCATGACCCAGGAAGGATCTCTAACAGCCATCTAAGGAGTGGCCAGTGAAGTTATCACTAGGATGTGATGTAAAGACTGCATTTTCTCTGAAAAGACCGTGCTTACAGCAAAAAGCCTGACAGTAATGATTCTACTCACCAGAACAAATTCAATAAGCTGTAGTTGTTCTGGTGACTATAGTGTCGCTTTAACTATATTCATTGTCAGCCAGTCCACATAAGTTTTGTTCCCATACATCCCACTTAAGTTTCCATACATACCGGCATTGCTAATTTGCATAATAAAACATGTATGGATGACATCACATGATGTAAATCACAAGGAGTGACATAAGAGAAAATGCTGTAAAATCACCAAAAACTACTTAGTTTGATTCTGCTGTATAGATGGATTCCTCCCAGTGCCCCCATGTCTCCCAGTGCCCTCATGACTCAGTGGCCCCATGTGTCGATTACTCCAGGTCTCAGTGTTCCTATGTATCAGTGTCTCAGTGCCCCAGGGGACACAGACACTAGAGACACTGGCTGGGAGACATGGGGACATTGAGACATGGGGACACAGAGACACCGGGGTGTCAATTCATATTTCTCTACTTTTTCATCTATTCAAAGTTAACACTAGCTTGGAGACATGGGGACATTGTGACACTTGAGGCAATGAGAGACATGGAGGCACTAGGAGACATGGGGACAGTGAGACACTGGCTGACTGGGGGCACTGGGAGAGTAGGGGTCACTGGGAGACTATGGGGGCACTGAAACACCAGGGACACTGGCTGGGAGACATGGGGACACTGTGTCCCCATGTGTCTGTGTCACATTATCTCCCAGTGTCCCTTAGTGTCTCAGTGTATGTCTCCTTGCAGCCTTTCCCCCCATCCCTTACTTCCCTGAGCTGTAGGCTGTCTCTGCAGGGTGGGAGTTGCTGTCTGGACTCTCTGTAGCTGCACCCCTGCAGATCAGTGAGTATAGATAGGCAGGGAGGGATATGCTGGAACTTCCTATCCCTGCCTGTCTCCACACACAGTGACCCCTACTGGCCAGTGCTGGTATTGCAGAGTAATCTCTTGTTTATACTGAGGAAAATACCAGCATTTGTATTGCCAGTATCACTGCAATATTGGCACCAGCCAGGCAGCCTCAAATACTGTCTGTGCCAATAAAATAAAAGCCAGGTGGAATCCCTAAGAGTAGTGTGTGAAAAAAAAAAAATGTAAAAAAATAAAAAATTTTTTTTTAAATCAATGGGCCTATTCCATGGGCCTGGGCCTGGGCCTGGAGCTGCAGCTCCATCAGCCCCTATGTTAATCCGGCCCTGATTGTCAGTGCTGGAACTGCTCCCCAGCGCAGTGTAACAACATTTATATTTGGCTTCTGAGGACGGTTTGTGATATCACATAGCAGACATTCATTTTCCCAATCGTACTCATATTGACCCAGATTTTGAAGAGATACTGAACTCTAGTGGTGGCAAGGTCATCCACTCAAATACTCCAAAACTTGACAGACCATTTCTCGCTCATGTAAGTGATGCGGAGATATATAGATATATATATTTTATAATATTATATTTTTCAGTAAAGGATTTCAGATGTTTATTAAAGGATCACTATAGTGTCAGGAAAACAAAGCGGTTTTCCTGACACTATAGTGCCCTGAGGGTCCACCTCCCGTGGCGCTGATGGGGTTAAAACCCCTTCAGCAGCTTACCTTATTCCAGTGCCGGGCTCCCCCGCCGACGTCAGCGGAGCCGAATGCTCATGCGCGGCAAGTGCCATGGAATAGGTTCGCTCGGTAATGGCACAAGGGAGCAAAACTATTTTGAGACCTGAGCGGGGATTTACTGAAGAGAAAGCTACAGAGTACCTCTAAGCTTTTGTCCATTCTCAAATTCTCTGTTTTTATTAATACGTTCACACAAGCATTTAGTTCTGATTTTTGTTTGTGGACTGGAGGCCATTGCTATGAATATAAGGTACTAACGGCATTGTACTTTCCAGCAGGAGGTATTTCACAATTTGATTTGGCTGCCGTTTGTTAACCTGATCTATACAAAGGGAGCTCTAGATGCTTACCTGGAATACTGCTTTGGATCGGATCCGTTCTGCCAGGAGACACAGGACCTGGGCATTCAGGCTCCCAGAACTGTCCAAATCGCCAACGATCGTTGGGAAGTTCTGAAAGGTAAGGTGCTCACACATTAAAGCAGGTTTGCAACCAGTCTCCGGGAGGTGACCACAGAAACAACACAAATATTTTTTAAGGGAAAAAAAAAGTTATTGAGGTACACCAGCGTGATAGTGATACCAATACCAACCCAGGTGGCATGAGAAGAACAGGTATGGCTTCAGCCACAACAAGCAAATTCCAGGAACTAAAAATCTGTATATTTTTACCAACGCACTCTACAGACCTTGCAGCAATTAACTAAAATAGTGAAATAGTATCAGTTAGCTGCAAGGTCATTTGAGTATGGATTAAATATTAATGCAATGCGTGCGTGTAACAGTTTGCAAATACATAAAACAGTTACAAAAGAACAGTTACTACCTCCTTAGGATTCAATTGCTCGTCTCCAAGATACTTTGCGTTGAAATGGTAACAGGATTGGCTGGCTGTGCTCATGTGAACAGTATGGCTGACCTGGAGAGAGAAAGGACACAATATTCAACTCCCCAAACATCAACTGACACCGGCTACCAGACATCTAACCATAAAGAGATAACTAAAACCTTGATCTCCATTACAGTTTACTAGAAACACGGAGGACAAGGGTACCTGTTACAGTGAGTGGACTGTGCCCAAGTGACATGGCAGCAATAAAGGATTGGCAGAGGAATATTCACCCCTGGGCCACAGCCTCAATGCATCATTATTCTGCTGATTAAAACCAGGTGCAATGAGATGTCTGTTGTCAGAGTACTGTAGGAAAGAGGTAGCAGATAGGACCTGTGCTGGGTCTTTGCTAGCTCAGTACTGTATGGATTTGTGCTTCAGCTGGTGACCAGAAGGCTCAGTGGTCCCCAGGTCTGTGCTGGCACACTGGGGTATTTCCCAGTGGATTGCAGTATCTAGAGCCAACCATGCTGTTTTAGTTTGTAAGGTGTCTCTGGATATGTTTGCAAGTGGCCATGGGGTGAGATAAAACCACGACACATAACAGTTATTGCTGGGGAATTTTAGTTTGTTTTTCAGCATGCACAGATCAGCTGAGAAATATGGCAGCACACTTTGCAAGCAGCCTCTACCTGTCAAACCTGTGTTGCATACACTGGGTAAGTAGGACCATCCACACAGAGGTCTGCGAGCTTCAGGTGGTAAAAAGGTCATTTGTTTTTACTTTTTTAAGCTCTGTTTATGTTTACATTGCAGCACTAAGTCTGCCTCCAGCTCCAGTGGCTGTCTCCACGTTGGTTGGGCAAAGGGAGCTATAGTGCAGAGAAAACAGCTTTGTATTCCTGGCACTTATCGTGTCCCTTTAAGCCTACTATCTTTTTTAACTTGTTTTTTGCTAGGTTTTTTCATCTTTATTTTCTGATTATATGGCAATAAATATTTTTTTTTTTGGTTTACCTGGCAGTTTCATTGAGAGGGACCTTCCCTAGTCACATATGCCTTTGTTTTTAGGATAGAGGTTGCAAGCCTTCCCCTATATGACAGCATCCAATATCTCCCAGCATTCATACCATCTTGTAGATACAAAAAAAGTGATCTCAGGTAAACATACCTGCTAATTTATGAGACTGGCTTGTGGTTTCAACAGCACAATCTATGCATTTAATTTAAGGTTTGTCTACATGAACTTGGCATTCACACAACTTGTGAATAATAAATTTACTGTAATACAATTTAGTGGGCAACGCTGTATAATTAAAAGACATTTCTTTGGAAAAAGTGAATCCCACAGTAAAATTAAGCAGATTACAATTAGATTTAAAAAAATAACGCCTGGCTTTTTTTTTAATCAAAGTGTAGCACATATTTGATAATAAAGGAAAAAGTGTGAGAATGCTATGTATGTAAAGTAGGGCTGGTAGAGCAGGGCATGAACCCAATTGTTTAACCCCTTAAGGGCACCTGTCAGAAAAAGAATCTAGCTACCACTGTATGTCAATATATAGCAGAACACCAAAAGGTCTAAGGTCTGAACACCCAGGTATGACCGCTGCCGGTAGATATCGCTCGTGGAGGTCTGTGAGCGTCAGTATGTATATAATACACTGGTCATCCGAGATGCATCAGCAGGTGGTCTGCAGTCTAGCCTGGGTGTAAGATGGAGCCCCAACGTACGTTTCGCAAGTCAGGCAACGCTTCAGGGGACCAGGTAGCACATATTTGTTTATTGCCTTTTCATTACAGACTTTATGGTAGGCCTGCTAGGCTCTTTAAAAAAAAAAAAAAAAAAAAATTGGAATCTATATTGCTGCTATATTTGATTTCACTAATAAAAAATATTTTTGAAAGAAAAAAAAAATAAATCAGCACATGATATTAGCATAATTGCCACCCTCAATGTTACTCAACGTAAAGGGATACTATATGCACAAAAACAACTTTAGCTTAATGAAGCAGTTTTGGTGTATAGATCATGCCCCTGCAGTCTCACTGCTCAATTCTTTATCATTTTAGGAGTTAAATCACTTTTGTTTATGCAGCCCTAGCCACACCTCCCCTGGCAGCCTCCCTAGACACTTCCTGTAGAGAGAGATCTAATGTTTAAACTTCCTTTATTGCACATTAGGTTTCACTTAGAGATTCTTAGCTCCTGCTCTGTTAATAGATCCTGAAGGAGCCTCCAATTTTTGATTAAAGTTCAATTTACAAAGAGAGAGAAACAAGAAACTTCTAAAGTAAAAATACTGATTGAAAAGTAAACCATTTTTTCATGTAAGCTGTGAGAGTCACAGCCAGGGGAGGTGTGGCTAGGGCTGCATAAACAGAAACAAACGTGATTTAATTCCTAAATGTCAGAGAATCGAGCTATGAAGCTGCAGGGGCATGATCTATACACCAAAACTGCCTCATTATGATAAAATAGTTTTAGTGCTGACAGTATCCCTTTAATGGTTTCCTCCAAGTGCAAATACAGGGCTGTGGCAGGTATCTCGTTTTGCAGCAGTGAACCTGGTACTCCGTATCATATGCAATGTAACACCAGCATCCCTGTGCTTTCATGTTGATTTACTAAATATAAAAGTCTATGCTTATTATAAATGCCTAATTATTAGATAACCACATCATTGATGCTATAGAAAATGGCTGAATGTTGTGAAAATCCCTGGTTTACCTGTAAATGGCTGCTAAGGGGCCTGTTGATAATGATTTTCACTCCTTCCAACTGCTGTGGAAACACTTCTGAAATTAAAAAATTAGAGAAGAAATTTAACTTTTTTACACTCAAAAACGCACTGAAATAACCTCAGAACAACATCACAGAAATGAGTGGCTATCTTTGTTTATACACCCTAATGATTGACAGCGTAAAAGGGGCACCAAAGGCTGGAGCGGACTGATTCCATTTAAAATACATTGTATTAAAGAGTCACTATAACGCTCTTCAGAGGGGGGACCGTTCCGTTGTAATATGCCATATTGGGCAGTGTGGAGAAGGCCCTCAACTCAATCTGTAGAAAAACCTGTCAGACATTTTTTATTTAAAAAAAAGGGTTTACTTACTGGAAATCCAGCGCCGGGCAAAGCTGCCAATAGTAAAAGTAATAAATAGTAAAGCTTGTATAAAAAATAGAATAAAAGGTTCTAATATCACCATGTGTATCACTCCACACAGAAACAGTGAAATATACAATAAATTATGGTGAGAGCACACTATAAATAAAATTAACACAAATGGCACATACAGTTAATGAATCTAAAAACCAAAAAGAACATATACATAGGGTAATATAGTACAAAATGAATTACTAGTAAAATCTATATTGGATCCACTCACAGGGTTCTGAGACACTCCACAAGCTGGCTCAGACTAAAAGCTGAATAGCATAAGGAATAGTGGCCACTAATGCCTTGTTTCCACTGAGCAGTATGGTTTGGGTTGGTACAGTTTGGAAGGGTTAGAATGGTCCAGCCTATTCAGGTGAGCGTTTCCACTGCAAGTCGGACCGCCAGGGGGCATGCGGGGTTTAGACCAAACGCCTAGCGTGTCATTTGTCGTGAGCATTGACGTTTTCCTGTCTGCCAATCAATGGATTGTATAGTGTGACGCCAGTAGCTCCACCCTAACCGTACCATTTCCTATGGACCTACATCTGAAGGGGGAACAGGAATGGTGTGGTTTGGTTCGGTTATATGGGTCACTTTCATAATGGAAACACTCAAAATAGCGTACCATACCGTACCGACCCGTACTGCTCAGTGGAAAGGGGGCATTAGTAAGGATCTGGATACTCGGGTTCACACCTCTGCCTTTTCTGGTGCAGCACCCAAAGACACTCCAAGATCCCGGATGTAGTATACCGGATGGAACCACTTTGAGAAAGGCAAACCAGCGAAATGCGTTAAATGGAGTTGGACTATTAATTTATTTGTAAGGTATTCTGTCAGTTTGTTCAATAAAGCCTGTGGTACTTTTATACACCTACATCCGGTATCTTGGAGTCTCTTTGGGTGCTGCACCAGAAAAGGCAAAGCTATGAACCCAAGTATCCAGATCCTTAGTGGCCACTATTCCTTATGCTAGTCAGCTTTTAGTCTGAGCCAACTTGTGGAATGGCTCAGAACCATGTGAGTGGATCCAATATAGATTTTACTAGTTATTCAGTTTTTACTATATTACCCTATGTGTATGTTCCTTTTTGTTTTTAGAGTCATCAATTGTATGTGCCATTTGCGGCCATTTTATTTATAGTGTGCTCTTACCATAATTTCTTGTAAAAAGCTGCCAATGCTGCTCTGCTGTGCCCCCTTCTGACATCATTGTGGCCTCGCATGGTCCAATCACAGGCTTCTCATACAGAAGCCTATCATTGGACCATTTCACAGGCTCAGAGTGCATGTGCGAGCTCTAGGCCGGTGAGGGGAGGGAAGGAAATGAAGGGAGGATCTTACTTTTAAACACCAATGTCTTCTTTGTGGAACAGGGTTGACAGAACCACTTCAAGACCGTATTGTAAATACCTGATCTTTCCAAAATGCAACAGACAGACAGGTCTACAAACCAAGTAACTTTACGACCAAAGAGCTAGTCAAACCATCATAACTACTACTGCAGTGTCGCAAAAGCCAGATGCCGATCATCCATTGGTTGAGAGAGGCAGCTGAGTTTGCTCACTCAATAAATGTCCCTCTACACAGAATTGAGGGTAGCCACCCAATAACACTTGTTCTAGGTTTAAAGGATCACTATAGGGTCAGGAACACAAACATGTATTCCTGACCCTATAGTGGTAAAACCACCATCTAGCCCCCCTGGGCCCCTCATGCCTCCATAAATATAGCAAAATCTTACTGTATTCAAGCCTGAAGCTGTAACTCTGCATGCTGTTTGCCTCAGAAAAACAAGCAGTCTGCTCACATCATCAGAAGTGGTAGCCTGATCCAATCACAGTGCTTCCCCATAGGATTGGCTGAGACTGACAAAGAAGCAGATCAGGGGCACAGCCAGCATGATTCAAACACAGCCCGGGCCAATCAGCATCTCCTCATAGAGATGAATTGAATCAATGAATCTCTATGAGGAAAGTTCAGTGTCTGCATGCAGAGGGTGGAGATACTGAATGTTTGGATGCATTTTAGGCAGCCATTACCCAGGAATGACCACTAACAGCCATCTGAGAAGTGGCCAGTGAAGTTAGTAATGTAAACACGGCATTTTCTCTAAAAAGACAGTGTTTACGGCAAAAAGCCTGAAGGTAATGATTCTACTTACCAGAACAAATTCAATAAGCTGTAGTTGTTCTGGTGACTATAGTGTCCCTTTAATAATGACGCAACTATGACACTCACAAAAGGTACACCTTCAGGCAGGTAGACCAAATGTTTAGTATGTCCAGTGCTTCACACTAAAATGATACACATACAGACTTCAAGCACCATCACCACTTCAAAATAATGACGTGGTCATTGTGCTTAGAGTAACACTTTAACTACAATTGATTTTCCAAAGCGAATTACCCACCTTTGCAATTTTTATGGAGCTCATCAAAGCTTCCAGGGTTGGGGAGAGTAACTTCTTTTTTCCGTGTACTCCATGCCCCCTTCGAGGAAGACAGCGCCAGTACATTGCCCATTCTACGCTTACACTAATAATTCTTCTTTTTTTAGAACTATATAATTTGGGCTCTGGGGTAGAAATGTTGTTTCTTTGTCTTTGCTACACCAAGACATTATGAAAAGGCAGCATATCGCATCTCTCTAAGCTGCAGGCAAACCTCTTCAGGAACTTTATATTTTCCAACTATGGGACCTTAAAGAAATCAGAAAAAATGGCTGGAATCATGGAATCACCTGTGAAAGAGAAAAAAAAAAAAGAATAAATGGAAATAAATTTGTATGATTTTATCGTATAATTAGAGATTGGTACCATTTGTTTTTAATATGTTATCTCTTAACGAAGGCACGAATCTAATAAGGACACACGGTTTGCTCTGTTAGTACCCGGTTTATATTTCCCTAATTAATGTTACATTTCTAAAAGGTTTCTACATTTATAAGGTGCTTTCATTAAAATTAGAGATAAATAATGTATAAAAATAAGATTTAAAAAAACCCAAAGCGCCAGCCATTATAAAGCAGTACTTAATGTAAATATCATGCTAGCTCCCAGGGTTATTGAGCACTCCCAGTGGCAGTGGCTGAGCATGATGTGAGTGGCAGTCCATGCTGCCTCCCTGTATTCCAGTTCTGTATCCCCAGCCCACAGTCATTGCCCCCCACTCTCCCCATTTACCCGGCTCTGCCCCCGGCTCCTGCCTCTGCTCTCTGCACTGGGCTTCATGTCACCAGGCTGAGGGCGGCCATTGCAGCTCCTGGCAGGCACCGCCCCGCGTGACGTCACAGGTGCTCGGGAAGCGGCGGGGCGGGGCCGCCATCTTAACTGAGGGCAAAGCCTGGCTAAAGACATGGAGAGCTATCACCTTGGCAACGGCCTGGGCATGACTGGAGGGGCATACTGTGGCTATATCTCCATCAGAAGCTGCTGCCAGGGCCACACACCCTGCATATTATTAATTATATTATATTATTATATTATATTGTTATTATTATTATATTATTATTTTATTATTATTATTTTATTATTATTATATACATTAGTAAGGCATGCTTACAGTCTGTATATAAATGGTAATGTCAGAGAATGTACCAATAGCACACGTGTAACTCGTAATTCAAAGCGCAACATGTTCACAAAAATCTATAGAAATCAATGCAGGAGGGCCAGTGACGTCATTTGACCCCATCCTTGCAAGCCAATGACCTCAGAGGGCCCTTTAAGAGAAGCCCCGCCCCCCGCGTGACGTCCCTGGCCTGCCATTGGCTGCTAGGGATCAGGCCCCCGACATCCGGTATAGTGAGGCAGGTGGAGGAAGGAAGGTGTCCCCGGCAGAGGCCAGCAGTGACCCGGACTGAGAGGTACTGACAGGGGGGGACACCAAATCCAGAGCATGGGGGGCTCTCTGTGCTGCTAATACTGGCAGGGTGGGGGGAGATCCCAGGGACTGGCAGGGAAGGGGTTAACAGAGCGTGGGGGATCCCAGGACTGGCAGGGAAGGGGTTAACAGAAGGTGGGAGGATCCCAGGGACTGGCAGGGAAGGGGTTAACAGAGGGTGGGAGGATCCCAGGGACTGGCAGGGAGGGGGTTAACAGAGGGTGGGGGGATCACAGGGATTGGCAGGGAAGGGGTTAACAGAAGGTGGGAGGATCACAGGGACTGACAGGGAAGGGGTTAACAGAGGGTGGGAGGATCCCAGGGACTGGCAGGGAAGGGGTTAACAGAGGGTGGGAGGATCCCAGGGACTGGCAGGGAAGGGGTTAACAGAGGGTGGGAGGATCCCAGGGACTGGCAGGGAAGGGGTTAACAGAGGGTGGGAGGATCAGAGACTGGAAGGGAAGGTAATGACAAGAGAATCAAACTATTGGTAACCTTGTATTATAACTAGTTTAGTTAATATTAAATGTAGATTATACAATAAAGATACACACCTACCCTGCTTCATTAATCAGTGTCACCATGATCGACTAAATTAAATTGTTGGTAACTTATATCTGCAGCATTTAAGGTATAATTAATCATTTTCATCTCTTTCATCAGATGCCAGAAGTAACTTTTCGAGTATTAATTCTTCAAATCTCCAACATGGCGCCACAGTGACCCGCTGAACATGGCCTTCTGGGGGTGTCTAGGCTGCTGATAGCACACACTGGTAAGGTACAGCGACCTGTGTGTATGGCTGACCGAGTTGATGCTAAAATATTATTTGTTCAAAACCTGTTTGTATATTCATGGGTACATAACGATAATACCTCTATGATGGGACATAAGATGCCATGAAAAAGGTTCTGGATGCATCATAATAGTTAATAATAAATGTGACCAAAACACAGACATTGCGGTATTTTCCCAAAAACACACATTGCTGTTATATAAATTACATTACAGATCTAGGTTAGTGTAAATGGTAATAGTGTATATACATGGTGTAATATGTTAGAGTAATGTAGAGGTTAGTGTTAAGTGTTAGCAGTGTAAAGATCCAGTGCTGCCCAAGATTAGTGGGAGTTGCAGTCCCGGGAGGCAGCTATTTCAGCTTCATTTCTTACAAAGGCCGCAGGTACCCTCTAGGAATGTCACTCTCTCTAATCTCAGGGGTCTGCTGAGATAAGGTTCCCCAGACTGCATACTGGAGATGGTTGTGTTGATACCCATTCATTATGGTAAATAATTGGACGTGCAATATCTCCATCTGTGCATCGTGTTCTAAAACAGGATATGCCTGTTAAAATAACATTCCTATTTATCATCAAAAATACAGCCTATAAATTGTATTTCTTCCTATTAAAATCAGGATTGAAGCATGTCTGCATGTTTGGTTTTTACTGTCATCGTTACATCAGTTCCCTGTGTCCCTGCCAATTAGAGCCTATTGTATTTGGACAGACCCCTTAATAGTTGGTTTCAGCATTATCTTAGAATCTTCCTTCAGGGCAAAGTTCAGATAAGGCAGAGAGTCACTGACCTTACAAAGGAAACATGTAGTTTATGGTCCTTGCTCGTGAGTGAGGTTATTTACCTGCAGATAAAATGTAGCAATTATTTTACAATGCCCCAAACCCTTGTATAGCTTTTCAGGGGAACTTGTGTCCCTAATACACTTCTAGATTAATTGCCAGGGCAGATCTGTGACATAATTCAGTCCCTGGTAAATAGTAAACAATGACATATTATATACTAATAGGAAAAAGAAGAGAACACCCAACAGATGTGTAGAACATCTAAGTAGAAAAAATGGGCACTCACGGGTCGTCACAAAAGTGAAAAATATACTTTGTATTTCAGACAGATAAGAATGTCAACGGGTTGGACCTCCCGAACTGCTGATTATAAAGTGCACAATATATGTAGATCAAAATACGAGAAAAGTGTAAATAGGATAACTTACCCACTAAACGCAACAAAAAGTCCCCACAGGAACACCCCAATAAGAATACGCGTTCCCAGTGCCGAGAGAGAAAAGCCCCACCGTCAGTGTAAGCTATCACCCAAACAGTGCTTTCACATAGTCTAACTTTTATCATAATGTTTGTCACCGAGTGCAGTCTCTCTTTGCTACACTGTTGCCTGATTAGTATCATTTGATGGTCTCAGTATATAGATACATTGGTTACGTTTCAGTTTTTAGGCTTTGTAGCGGAGAGGTAGTATAATCCACAGTATGTCCGCTGGGTAACAGGAACAGCATAAAATAATCCAGGCAAATAAATACAGCATACAATAATCCCGGTAGCGTTGTAAGAATCCTTCCCTCCCAAGAACTAGACGACACATAGGCTGGGAGTCAACTGAGGTTTTATTCAGTCGAGTAGCCGATTTTAGTTCCAGGCGCTCAACGACCAAACACCGCTGGGCTAACAAAGGAACCAAGATGGCCGACTGCCGCGTGGTCGGTAGCCGAACGACTGCCACCTAGGAAAACCTTTAACTACCGATTGCAACAATGTGTGTGTGGTCGTCCATTCGGTAGGTTATTCGTTTCACGAACAGTGTTGAAACTCACTGTTCGTGAAACTACAGTATGAATGCTGGGGTTTTCATGCCGCCAGCATACAATGCCCTCATTCGCCTGAAAAGTAAATACAGTCATATACTTGGTTCTCACAGCTTTAAAAGGAATATAAACAGATTCATATAGTGATAATCTAGTCTTAAGTGGCTAGTTTTGCCACAGGCTTAGTGACCGGATAATTTTATTTTATTTTTTTGCCTCCAGGTATATTTGTATGATAATATGTTTTGGTAAAGTACGCTAGTAACCCTGAGGGGAACTAGCAAAAGTGTGTCTGGGACGACCTTGCGGGGGATAACCCTCACAGACGTGTACCTTGATAATATGTTTTGTAAACGTTTGTTTTAAATGAAAGTATCGTTCAGGTGATGGCATTTACTGTGACTGTGGAGCATTTCTCTCTCTCCACTGGGATCGCTTATTCTTATTGGGGCATGTGACAAACAGTTGTCCCGTGTTTTGCCAAAGATGCCAGAGACCATAGCCATGTTTCCCTATTGCTATATGTGCAAAGCATAATTCTAGAGGTAAAGCTGTCTCTGCAGGATTCCATTGGGTCCCAGTAATGGTTAACCCCCTGTACACAATTAGGGAGACCAAGAGGAGTCTGTTAATTGGATTCATTATTTCCCTATGTCTGGAATTACCTACCTGTACCTAATATCTTCTGTTAGAGTTTGATCATTTTAATAACATTACCTGTTGTTTGATGTACCTGTAATTGAATATATATATATTGTGCACTTTATAATTGGCAGTTGTCATGAGAAAGTACTGGGGAAGGTTCGAAACGTTGACATGCTTATCTGTCTGAAAGAAAGACTTTATTTTTAACTTTTCTAAGCTGAAGACCTGTGAGTCATTTTCTATTTATCTGTTGTACTTTTGCCATTATTGGAGCACAGGGGCATGAACCTATTGAGCAAGATGAATTGCTGTCAAGTGTGATCGCATCCAGGATCATGTTTATTTAAATATATATTTATTTTAATTGAGCAACAATTTAGTTAGTTCTCCTACCAGTTTTGCCAAGACAGTCTTTTAAAAATGAGATTTATAGTTTTTTTTAATGTGGTAAAACCGGTTCTACATTTTCTGCATTATCAAAGCTAGGCTACGTTTACTGCATATTGTTACTATCCGTAGCATTAGAAAGGTGTAACTCTAAACTGATTAACACTTTAAAGGAAAACTACGGGGTCAGGAATACAAACGTGTTAAAAACCCATGTTAGATGGCTGCCCCCACCTCCCCTTCCCACTTAAAAGGAATTAATATTCACCTTTTTTTTGTTTCCACGTCGTGCGATTCCTCCGGTGCTGCTCTGCCACCTTGGCTGAGATCGTCAGAATTGACGATCTCACCCAATCAAATTCTTTCCCTTAGGAAAGCATTGGGAGGCTATTGCACATGCACAGCAAAACCAGCGCTAATCAGTATCTTCTCATAGCGATGCGTTGAATGTACATTGTGCAGCACTGACCCAGGAAGCACCTCTAATGGCCGTCTGAGTGACTGCCACTGGAGGTGTTCCTAGGCAACAATATAAACACTATCTTTTCTCTTAAAAGGCAGTGTTTACATTAAAATTCCTTTAGGGACATGCTATACACACCAGAAGAGTTACATTTAGCTATAGTTGTTCTGGTTACTATAGTAGTTTTAAAGAGCTATATGATGAAAAATTCCAAGTGTCTAAGAGGCAGCAGATAACATTCTGAGCGTAATGCTGTGTGAAACTCAAACTTGCTGTTATCGTTTTATCTTTTCCTATTTAAATCAAACAACATTTCATAGAACCCGATGGAATCTGTTTTAGCTCATTTAGATCTTGTACAATGTGTGTTTCAAGTATACATAAGGAATCCATTGCCCTGGAGCCCTGCATGACTAACCAGACGTGCAGGGGAAGAACAAGTTGGGCATGGTGTTACAGAAAGCTTTCAATAAAATGAGTATTTACAGGAAGCACATGTGATCACCATACTTCTCTCCCTACTCATGTCTAAATGCAGTTACTTTTAATGCATAAAAAGTAAAAACCTGTTTCTCTTGTTCGTTAACTTCCGCTATCTATTGATGAGTGTTTGTTCTGAGATCAAGCAGGTTTTAAGCTCGAGTTAGGTGTGGTGTAATTAGAAATCTACTTTAAGTTTTAACCTGCAAAAAGATCTGTAAGGAGCCTGACCTCTATTGGTCGCATTAAAGTACTACGCGTGCATGTGTTTTGTAATATTTTTAATATTAGTCTGCAGGGACCACAGGCTTTCATAGTTATTATTCAATATGCCCTTAGAAAGTGGTTTGGTTAATACCTGAATCAAGGAATAGTTGTGAAAACTGGCTTGAGAACCACTGCGCCACCAAGGACTTCTCATGTTCCTTGCATAATTAATGAGCAGGAATATTGGATTGACAGAGAACCGAACATACACTGACCATTCACAACATTAAAACCACTGACGGGTGAAGTGAATAACATTGATTATATCGTTACAATGGCACCATGTCACCATGGGATATATTGGACAGGAAGTGTAGTCCGTTCTTGAATTTCATGTTTTGAAAGCAGTAAAATAGGCAATCGAAAATATCTGAGTTACTTTGACAAAGGCCATATAGTAATGCCTAAACGAGTGGGTCAGAGCATCTCCAAAACTGCAAGTCTTGTGGGGGTGTTCCCTGTGTGCAGTGGCTGGTACCTACTACCAAACGTGGTGCAAGGAAGGACAACTGGTGAACTGGTATTAGGGTCATAGGTACCAAAGGCTCATTGATGCATGTGGACCATCTGGTCCAATAATAGGAACCACTCTAGCTCAAATTGCTGAAAACGTAATGCTGGCCATTAAAGAAAAGTGTCACAATACACAGTGAAACGTAGTTTGCTACGTAACTGCAAATCAATCAGAGTGCCCGTGATGTCCCCTGTCCTCTGCTAAAAGCACCTTCAGATGTTTTTAATGTTGTGGCTGATCATGTGTCTCAAGTCTCTTTGTTTACTGTGCAATTTGTAGAAAGAGTATATTGAATTTTTAATAAAGAATAATGTAAAATCTTATCTTGCTGCAGGCAGAAGGTTCACCTCATCCCTGGGCCTTCTAGAGCCATGGAGGATAAACGGAACATCCAGATTATAGAATGGGAGCATCTAGACAAGAAAAAGTTCTATGTTTTTGGTGTCTGCATGACTATGGCTATCCGGGTGAGTGTCTACCCCTTCACTCTCATCCGGACTCGCCTGCAGGTACAGAAGGGGAAAAGTCTCTACAATGGGACATTTGATGCCTTTGTGAAAATACTAAGGTCAGAGGGACTTGCTGGATTTTACCGAGGTTTCCTGGTAAACACTTTTACCCTGATCTCTGGACAATGCTACGTGACCACCTACGAACTTACCCGGAAGTATGTGTCTGGATACAGCAGCAACAACACAGTAAAGTCACTGGTGGCGGGAGGCTCTGCATCTCTGGTGGCACAAAGCATCACAGTTCCCATCGATGTGATATCGCAGCACCTCATGATGCAGAGAAAAGGAGAAAGCATGGGACGGTTTCGGATTCGCGTGGCAGAACGCAAGCAGACATTGGCTTTTGGCCAGACCAAGGATATTATTGTTCAGATCTGCAAAGCCGATGGGCTGAGAGGATTCTACAGAGGTTACATTGCTTCTCTCCTCACCTACATCCCGAACAGTGCGGTATGGTGGCCATTCTACCACTTTTATGCAGGTAGGAAAGCAAGAATATCTACATGTTGAATTTAACTTCAGAGAAGTTGTGGTTTAAAGCGAAATCCTCACTTTTTTCACAGCCCAGTTATTAACAAATTGCCATTTTAGTTTAACCCATTAAAGGAACAAACTTAATCTGTTGGTTTTTCACTTAAAAGGACATTATAAGCACCCAGGCCACTTCAGCTCATTGAAATGGTCTGGGTGCACTGTCCCTATTGCACTTAGTGCTGCATTGTAATACATTACTGTTCCAGATAAACTGCAATCTTTACATTGCAGCTCTAAGTCTGTACACAGTGGCTGTCTACCAGAAGGTGCTTCCAGGATCCTAACGGACTTTTGGTCCGGTAACTGACGCTGGATGTCCTCGCGCTCTGCGTGAGGACATCCAGCGTCCGCTGTTTCAACATAGGAAAGCATTGATTCAGTGCTTTCTTTTATGGTCTAATGCTTTAAATAGCCCGCTCGTCGAGGCGGAGCCGTGATCCAGCGCACAGAGACATTGGCGTTGGGATCAGATAAGTAAGTAATACAATAATACAGCTCTGTATTCCACGCACTCTACAATCCCTTTAAGGACCAAAGCAATTTTTGCTGTGTGTGTGTTCAACCGCAATTTTCATCTCTCTCATTTATTGTAGCAACACCTATTATATACTGTTTTAGTAAAGAACAAAAAAGCACTGTAATTTGATGTGACCTATACATTTTATAAATTCTCATCGATTAGAAATACTCATGAATGCAACAACAAAAAAATAAAAAACAAAACCTTTTTAAACAGGTTGGGCAATAGTTATGTGTGCATAATTAGTGCAGCTTAAGAAAAGGAATTCAAAATAAATTCATTTGTCCTGATTTACAGAGTAAATGTGTCATTTCATGTGTCCCATTGTAATAAAATTATCTTAAATGAACATATTAGTGTTAGGAATGCAAAGATGTAACACTAGTGTGTCCTGCAGCCCCCCCTCACCGCTTTGTAAATGGTTAAATAACCCTTTAATCACTTACCTGATTCCAGCGCCAGTGTCCCTCGGCACTGGGTCACGGTCCACCTCATCTGATATGGGTGGGGGGGAGAGGGAAGGAAACCTATGGCACATGGCGGTAAGTACATTAGGCCTTCCCCCATAGGAAAGCATTGCCATTCTCAGTCTGGCTGGGTACAGAAAACTGAAGCTCCTGTACCGCGGTTCGCTCCGTTCGGCCACACTACAAGAGAGGTCATGAGGCACACCAGGACAATTGAGGGGACACACACACCACAAAGGTGGGGTGGGGGGTGACACTAAAGGACAGGGAGGGAGGGAGGTGAGAGGAACACTAAGGGACAGGGAAGGGATGGGAGGGAAAAGGAACACTAAATATTTTTGAAAACCTAAATCTGACTGACATGTATATTTTGTGCATTTACCACTTAATAAAAAAATTTGCAAAGAAAATAATTAAATAAACTTCTTCCGTTAACAGTAGATTTGTGCAGAAATTGTTTCTTTTTTCAAAACGGTAAATGTCCAGAATATCGGTATCGATAAATTATCAGCTATCAGCCTGAAAGTTCACAGATTATCGCTATCGGCTCTCAAAAATCAATATCGGTCAATCCCTAGTTTACATTACCGCTTAGGGATACCTCCACTGGCCACTCCCCAGGCGCTTCTGGTGCAGTGCTGCACAGTGTGACTGACATTCAGTGTTTCCACCCTCTGCGCAGAGACACAGAACTTTCCTCATAGAGATGCATTGATTCAATGTGTTTGCCTTGTGCCCGCTCTGCCCATGATCTGTTTCCTTGACACTTTCTGACAATTCAATGCTCTCCCATGTGAGAGCATTGTAATTGGCTTTAATAAACACTTCTGATGATGTCAGCCAAGCAGACAGATCAGAGTCAGAGCCAGCAGCAGGCTGGAATAAAAGTAAGATTTTTACTAATTTTAGGGGGGCCATCGGGGCTAGGTGGTGTTTTTAACACTAAAGGGTCAGGAATATATGTTTATTCCTGACCCTATAGTGTTCCTTTAATAAACATGGAATTACAATATGTGAGTTCTTTGTCTTATTCTGCCTCAGTAAATCTACAGTTAGTGATTGTCAGATGTTATATTGCAGCTATTTCTACTGAGTGTTTTGTGGGAAGCTAGTTTCTCTGACAAAATTATGTAATTGGTGTTTGTTTGTTTTTTTTTTGATACGGAGATAGAGAAATCGATACCATAATTAATGTACCGTTGGGTGTAGTGTCCATTGTAATTTACTATATGCTACTATTTCTCGTAGAACAATTGTCTCGCCTGTCGCCAAATGATTGCCCTCACCTCCTTCTCCAAGCTATATCCGGGCCACTGGCAGCAGCTACAGCATCCACCATTACCAACCCAATGGATGTTATAAGAGCGCGTGTGCAGGTAACTGGCTGAGTATTACTTTTAGAATAGTTTAAATGTTCTATTTGTACATTTTATAAGACTGGGGTCAAACAAATAATATACCAATAGAGGGTTAGAGAACATGTTTCTCAACCAGCACATATAACAGCCACTCAATAATATACTCTAATTGACTTATCTAGACCTCCTGGCTGATGTGATTACATATAAGTCAAAGCAGCATTTCTTTTAAAACAAGCAATAAATCCTTTTCTGGTTCATCTTAAGCAAAGCATGAAAGTGATAATCTTCTTAAAGGAGTCTTTCAGAACTGGCCTCCTAGGGTTGGATACTACCAAGAGATTGTTAGGGAATAGTTGTAAGAACCTTGAACTCTTGTTGCTCTTCGACAGCTCACCGAGAACCACTGTTTGTGTGATAAATCTAAATGTTAATGTGCCGGTTTTAGAAACAATTCAGATTAATTTGCAACAGAACATATGGAAGGACTCGTAATATATTGCCATTAGTATCTTTATAAAGAAGTGTTCTCTCCGGTTAAGATTGGGCTGACATGGTTTTGACGAGTTTAATCTCACTCTGTTACTCATTTATTTTAGGTTGAAGGCAAAAGTTCCATTATTGGCACCTTCAAACAACTGATGGCAGAAGAAGGACCATGGGGTCTAACTAAAGGTCTTTCCGCCCGCATCATTTCAGCCACACCTTCCACCATTGTCATCGTTGTGGGTTATGAGACACTAAAGAAGATTAGCCTTCGCCCAGAGCTGGTAGATTCAAGACATTGGTGAAACTGTCCCTCCAACCAAGGGGCAGATGGTGGGGCATGACATTTTTTGGGTGGCTTTTATAAATTTCTGAAAGACATCATGGAATGGAAACCACTAGACATGTCTGAAGAATGTCTAACCCCCACCCACCAGTGTTTGAAAAACGGTGTATATAGATATAAATGTATGTGGTTTATGCACATGGTTATCAACTGTGTATTTACGGTTGTGATGGACACTTTTGAAGACTCGTGGTGGTTCACCTACTTTTGCTGCTGGATTAATGTTGGAGCAAACAAACCATTTAAGAACACAAGAAAATAAGGTGTAATTTACGTAAAAGAGAAGGGTAATGGTACATCCATTCTCTTGTGTGACATAAATGCATCATGTACATCACGTGACTCCTACCTTATCCGATTCCTAGCCCGATTTTGGGATATGTCTCCCCCCAACACACACATTTTAAAGAAAGAGATTTAAATAGGTGTGTTTTTTTTTAATATAATTTTAATATGAAATTAGATCTGTTTATTTAATTGCCAAAATGTTGGGAGTGTTTACAAGTCCGTGCTTGTTTTGTATAGAACAGAAAATAACTTTTTATGTAACTGTAAATGTGCTCCCTCTGTTAAAATTAATTAACTGATTTTATATATATATTTTTTTTTTTTAATTAAGCTTTTTGTGTGTTTTGCATTGTTTTGTTCTCCTGTCTATCATGTGACAATGTTGGCCAAAAAGGTCATGTTAATCTTTAATTAATGTTAATCTGGTCACAAGGTTATTGTCCTGACTTTGTAGCCTTTAGAAAATTGAAATTGTAAACTAAAATAATTGTCCCCCTTTTTGATTTTCTAATGAGCGACATGCATATTTTAATATATATATAGATATTATCAGAGACTTTCTCAGGATGTTTCAAGTCCTACTGCAAATTATTGTGAATTCCAATGTATCTGTTCTGTTAATTAACACTGGACCTCCGAGACAGATATTATAGATGTGTCAGTAAAGGGATTGAAATATAATGTTTTTAATCCTAGGGATTTACTCCATTTGCCTCCCCTTTCTGGTGCAATTTAACCCTTTTTTTTGATTTGCACAATAAATCCTTTCCTATAGGCCAATGCTGGCTTAACTTTGAATTGCCGTGTTATTTTATTTTCCCACAATACAGCCATTTTATTTATTCATTTTTGGTGGTGGCTTGTTTTGTTTATACTAAGTAAGATATACTTACTGCTTACGGATTATTTTTTTAATTTACTTTTTATTTTATTTTTCTTGTCTCACTTTAGAGAAAATTCCTTAATAGAATTTTTTACACATGCGCAACAGAGCGTCAACCTAAGCTAAACATGCCTGTGTGTGTTTTCTGGGTTACATTTTTATGATGCTCAGTTGAGCTTTTAAAGGACCACTCTAGGCACTCAGAACACTTCAGCTTAATGAAGTGGTCTGGGTGCCAGGTCCAGCTAGGCTTAACCCATTCTTTTATAAACATAGCAGTTTCAGAGAAACTATGTTTATGAATGGGTTAAGCCTTCCCCCAAAGCCTCTAGCGGCTGTCTCATTGACAGCCGCTAGAGGCGCTTGCGTGAAAGTCACAGTGAGAACACGCAAGCGTCCATAGGAAAGCATTGATAATGCTTTCCTATGCGACCGGCTGTGCGCGCGCATTCAGCCGACGGGGAGGATCGGAGGCAGAGAGCTCCCCGCCAGTGCTGGATGGGGTGGGGTCACCTTCAGGGCATTATAGTGCCAGGAAAACGAGTGTTTTCCTGGCACTATAGTGGTCCTTTAAGATCTTAAAGGGACACTATAGTCACCAGAACAACTACAGCTTATTGAATTTGTTCTGGTGAGTAGAATCATTACCTTCAGGTTTTTTGCAGTAAACACTGTCTTTTCAGAGAAAATGCAGTGTTTACATTACAGCCTAGTGATAACTTCACAGGCCACTCCTCAGATGGCTGTTAGAGATGCTTCCTGGGTCATGGCTGCCTAAAATGCATCCAAAACATTCAGTATCTCCACCCTCTGCATGCAGACACTGAACTTTCCTCATAGAGATTCATTGATTCAATTCATCTCTATGAGGAGATGCTTATTGGCCAGGGCTGTGTTTGAATTGTGCTGGCTTTGCCCCTGATCTGCCTCTTTGTCAGTCTCAGCCAATCCTATGGGGAAGCACTGTGATTGGATGAGGCCACCACTTCTGATGATGTCAGCAGGCAGCTTGTTTTTCTGAGGCAAACAGCATGCAGAGTTACAGCTTCAGGCTTGAATACAAGTAAGATTTTACTATTTTTAGGGAGGCACGAGGGGGACAGGGTGGTTAGATGGTGGTTTTAACCCTATAGGGTCAGGAATACATGTTTGTGTTCCTGACCCTATAGTGCTCCATTAATTAAAACAATCTTATTTAGGAGTAAGTTTTCATTAATCTGTTGTTTTTATGGTATTTTAATAGGATCATACATTTCCCTTTTTCCAATTCCTATTGACCCAGCCACCATATCCTTTCATGAAGATATTTTGCTGCTTACTATAAGCAAGGGAGTCTGCAAACATTATTTATATATCTCCAACATAGTTCAAACCATTTTACAATATTCGAATTGGGAAATTAAAGGGACAATGTAGGTACAATTACCATTTCATCTCATTGAATTGGTTATATCACCTGGAGTCCGATGACACTGTCCCTCTATTCAACTTTCCTCTATGAAACTTTGTGTTTTCAGACATATATTTCTTACTATTGTTGGATCCACTGCTGCCATTAGCTTGCGTTCAGGGGCATGATCCTTGCTCTTTACACTGCTTCTGTTTGGGAATCCTGCTATGGCTTCCCCACGTTTGACACAGCCCCCCAGGGTAACGCTGAAGTGCTGGCTTCATTGCCAGCTTATCGAATGGAGAGCCAGGTGCTCTGATCAGTCTTCTTATACTCTGCTTCTTCGTTAGTGAATCGCTGGAGTAAGTCCTGGTATTGCTGGAATGTTGAGATGTTTATAAAAGTCATAAAGACTTTCATGTTGCAAAATGAGGTTTGAAATGATAGTCGCTGAAACCGTATCATGCAAGATTGTGCAGACAAGCATATGTTCAATAAGCTCCTCACCCTATATGGGGAACATGAAAGAAGCTTTTTAAAAAAAAGTGCAAATAGGTGCGAATTCTACTGGCAAAAAAGTAATTTGTCAGGTCTTCATTGTACATGAGGATTATGTAAGAAACACACAAACACATTGAAGCTGGCCCAGAGAACATCCTGTAGACATGTTCTCATGCAGACATTGGCATAGAATCTATGCCAATAGCTGGTCGGCAAGGAGAGATGGGGAGTACAATTTAAACCGCGGTTAGCCCCTGAAAACACCACATCTACATAGTTACATAGCAGAAAAGGAGACTCCGATTTCAACCTTTCTCCCATTTGTTTTGGCTGTTAATCCAAAAGAAGGCAAAAAACCCAGTTTGAGGCGTTTCCCCTTTTGCAACACGAGGATCACATTTCTACTTGACCCCAGAATGGTAGTCCGATATCTCTTTAGTTCAAAAAGCTATTGCTCCACAAACTAAAAATATGTAGATTCTTTTTTGCAAGTATTTTCCAGTTGCTGTTTAAACATATGTACAGACTCTGATAAAACTACCTCTTCAGGCAGAGAATCCCACATCCTTATTGTCCTTACTGAAAAAGAAACAGTTTACTTTGCCTTTCACTTCCACCTGTTTATCCTGTATTTTTACTATGTTTTTCATTCGCTGTTTAGTAAATAGGCCTCTGGTCTGCCAACATTTTTCAATAGTGTGAATCTATCCTCCTGCACCTCCCATATTGTCTAGGAATTTAAAAACCGCAATGCGTTTAGATGTTATACATTACCTATGGAATTCTCTTTTGACGACAAAAAAAAAAGCGGAACATAATTTGCTGCTAAGTCTTCCTATTGACATAACTGATGGCTAAATCCATCTTTCGACTCAACTTGCAATAGGTGGGTACCGGTTAGCAGAAGTTTCAAGAGCTCAGTAATCTTAGCCGCTCTGCATGAGGATGTCCAGAGTCAGAGAAAATCCCATAGGAAAGCAATAAGGCAATGCTTTCATATGGGGAAGGCCGAACGTGCGTGCAGCGCTCATCCCAAATGCGTATTAGGCCCCCCCCTTTGGATGAGGTCAGAAGGAGGCGGAGTGTGATCCTGCGCAGAGGGTCCTTGGCACGGGAATCGGGTAATAAAGAGTTATTTAACCCTTTACACCACCGGGTGGGGTTAGAAACACAATGTTAGGAATATATCTTTGTATTCCTAACACCAAAGTGTTCCTTTAAGAAGCAGAGGAAACACATGTGCCCTTGTGGCTCCAGCAGAGAGGCTTTGCGAAGCTTCTGATTGGTGACTGTCTTGCGGGGAAAGAGGGGTGGGCTTGCAAAGGATGCAAACAGCAGGTCTGCAGCTTTTGCCTACTGTTATTTTCATATACCCCCAACTGGAGCATGTAGAAAGAAAAAAAAGCTACATGCATGGTTTCTTGAGGTTATATCTACTAAATTGTTATTTAAAAACAAAATTAAAAAAAAAATGAATTCAATGGCATGTTTCTTTAATTAAAATAGAGAGGGCTTCCTTGGACCCTAGTCAACCCAAAGGAGGAAATTTCGATTAATGCACACGGGCTGTACACAATTCCTCTATGAGAGCCCCTAACAGATCATGTGCAGTAAGGCATTGAACTATATCGGAGGTTCAGGAGATTCTGCAGAAAATTTTCCAGGAGGGAGCAAAGCCATAATGTGTGTATATGCACTCTTGGCCCCATTGTAAGGAGAGGGACTATATGCAAAGTGTCCATGGACGTAAACACCATTCTATTTCCATGGCTCATATGCACAGACGGAAAAATGACAGTAGTATGCTCTAGGGACGTGCATGGGCAAAAAAATTGGTTCGGCGGTTCGGTTCCCTCTCTTGTTTTGCCACTTTTCAGAAATCCGAAGCACTTCGGCACTTCCGAAATTCGGGACTTCGGTGTAGCGGAACGCCAATAATAAATCCACGAATTCCGCTGGTTCATGAACTAATCCACAGTCAAGCGCTGAAACAATAAGGCAATATCCCCAACCTCCCAGTAACCGGACGAGACACAGTTCTGAGAGTCAACTGAAATCCTTTAATTCGGCTGGACAATTTATACAAGTCCCCATGCAAGGGGTTTCCTGAGTCCCTCCCCAGGGGCACTCCCAGAGGGGACTACATGGGGGACTTACATTACCGCATATTTCTCCCATCAGGCACTGCTGCACGAGAGGGATCCTCCTCCCAGAACACACCGTTAAGTGGATTATCCCCTCGTGCAGCAGAAACGACAATTTACACAAAAATCCATAACTGGGTTAATATACGGTGGATTTACACGAATGGACGTTCGGTAGATAGCTGGGGTCTGAGCGCATCATTCGTGAGATTACCGCTCAGATCCCAGCTAAAATAACCGAACGCCGCACGAAAAACACCTTTCTTATAACACATATAAAAAGGACCGATTGCTTTTAGGGAACAAAATCCCGAATGGCCCGAAACTCCCGAACGTCCTGGAAGCTCAGCGGTGTTCGTGCCGTCGAGTAGCCGTTTTTAGTACCATGCGCTCGACAACCTAACACCGCTGAGGAAACAAAGGATCCAAGATGGCCGACCGCCGCATGGTCGGTAGTCGAACGACGGCCACCCAGGAGAGCCTCTAATTACCGACTGCAACATTGTTGCAATCGGTTAACTAGCGCCACACGCCTCTAAGTGTGTGGGCTATTAGGGGCATTGCGTTCGTTTCACGAACGGCCCTCCAAAGTGCCGTTCGTGGGACGAAAGAAAACCCCCATACAAACCGCCATTTGCATTCGGCGGAAAAGGCAATTACAGGCAATGCAGAGAATACATACAGCATACACATATAGAGTAAAGCACATATCTCCCCAGACCTGTAGGCAACCCTTAAAGGCATAGTCTCTAGTTATAATCCAAGTGGCTAGGTTTGCCACATTCGGCACTTTGCAAATTCAGTTTGGCGCTTCCGAAATTCGTCACTTCGGGAATTTGGCAATTCGGAAGCATCGGAATGTCCGAAATTCGGCCGAATTTAAATTCGGAGCGAAACAAATTGCATGTCTAGTACGCTCCCACTTTATCC